GTGCGTGCGCGTGTGCGTGCGTGTGCGAGTGTGCGCGTGCGCGCGCGCGTGTGTGTGTGTGTGTGTGTGTGTGTGTGTGTGTGTGTGTGTGTGTGTGTGTGTGTGTGTGTGTGTGTGTGTGTGTGTGTGTGTGTGTGTGTGTGTGTGTGTGTGTGTGTGTGTGTGTGTGTGTGTGTGACTTTGTCTGTGTCTGTTTGCTTGTTTGTTTGTTGAACTCACGAGAGCCAGCCTGCGCGAACAAGTCTGCCTTAGACGATGCACGCGGGTTTCTTTCAGAGCTGTGCAAGAAATGCAGATAAGCCACCGGTTGTGTCCCAGCGCTGGTCATGTACTGGCCTGGTGCAGATGAGTATTGCATTGGTGCTGAGGAGTACTGCATCGGCGCGGATGAGTACTGTCCGGGAGCTGCGTACTGCACTGGTGCCGCGGAGTACTGCACTGGGGCAGAAGAGTAGTCAGCCGGAGCACCATACTGCACCGGTGCAGATGAGTACTGTCCGGGCGCTGCGTACTGCACTGGTGCCGAAGAGTACTGCACTGGGGCAGAAGAGTAGTCAGCCGGAGCACCGTACTGCATCGGTGCAGATGAGTACTGTCCGGGCGCTGCGTACTGCACTGGTGCCGAGGAGTACTGCACTGGGGCAGAGGAGTAATCAGCCGGAGCACCATACTGCACGGGTGCAGATGAGTACTGTGGCGGAGCAGTAGTGTACGCCATGAACTCCTGCCGTGAGATCATCCCGTCATTGTTGGTGTCATACTGCGCAAACATGGGAGCAGGTGCTGCCTGTGGCACTGCGTATGTGGTCTGGGCCGGCGCCGAGTACTGCATGGTCTGCGGAGCGGAGTATGTCGCAGGGGCTGTCGAATATGTGGCCGGCTGAGCTGCAGACACGGACGAGGTGTAGGTCTGGGTGGGCTCAGCTGGGGCCATAGCTGCTGAGCCGCCTGACGGTCCTGTCACGTACTGCGGCGGAGCAGTGTAGGTGGTAGGGGCAGGCTGCGCATAGGTCTGCGGCGCAGAGTAGGTCGCTGGCTGTGGAGCGGCGTAGGTCGCTGGCTGCGGTGCGCCGTACTGCACCGGCTGCGGAGCCGCGTAGGTCGCTGGCTGTGGGGCGCTGTACTGCACCGGCTGCGGAGACGAGTAGGTCGCAGGGGCTGTGGAATATGTGGCTGGCTGAACAGCAGACACCGAGGAAACTGGCTGGGGCGCGATAGCAGATGCTGACCCTCCCATTGTTGTAGCCGGGCCGGTCATGTATTGCGGTGGAGCAGTGTAGGTGGCAGGCTGCGCATAGGTCTGCGGCGCAGAGTAGGTCGCTGGAGCTGCGTAGGTCTGGGTGGGCTCAGCTGGGGCCATCACTGCTGCCGAGCCGCCTGACGGTCCTGTCATATACTGTGGCGGAGCAGTGGTGTACGTCATGAACTCTTGGCGGGAGATCATCCCATCATTGTTGGTGTCATACTGCGCAAACATGGAAGGCGCAGGTGCTGCCTGTGGTACTGCGTATGTGGTCTGCGGCGGCGCTGAGTACTGCATGGGCTGCGGAGCCGCGTAGGTCGCTGGTTGCGGGCTGTACTGCGCCGGCTGAACAGCAGACACTGAGGACACTGGGCCCGGCTGAACAGCAGATACTGAGGACACTGGGCCTGTGGAATATGTAGCCGGCTGAACAGCAGATACTGAGGACACTGGCGCGGCCTGCTGGGGTGCCGCGTACGTCATGGGCTGCTGAGACTGCTGGGGTGCTCCCGCAGGTGCCGCATACACCATGGGCTGCTGGGGCTGCTTGGGCGCGTCAGCAGGTGCTGCATACACCATGGGCTGCTGGGGCTGCTTGGGCGCCTCAGCAGGTGCCGCATACACCATCGGCTGTTGGGGCTGCTTGGGCGCAGGTGCCGCATACACCATGGGCTGCTGGGGCTGCTTAGGCGCCTCGGCAGGTGCCGCATAGACCATCGGCTGCTTGGGCGCATCAGCAGGGGCTGCGTAGACCATCGGCTGCTGCTGCTGCATCGGCTGCGGCATCGGCTGCGGCATTGGCTGCGGCATCGGCTGCTGCATCGACTGCTGCGGTGCCATGTAGCTCATGAACTCTTGCCTGGAGATTTGTCCATCATTGTTGGTGTCATACTGCGCAAAGCTCATTGGGGCAGCAGAGTACGCCATCGGCTGCGGAGACGAATATGTCGCGGGCTGCGGAGACGAGTACGCCATCGGCTGCGGAGACGAATATGTCGCCGGCTGCGGAGACGAGTAGGTCATCGGCTGAGAGTAGGTCGCTGGCGCAGTGGAGTAGGTCGCAACTGGAGCAGCAACTGCAGCTGAGGACGACTGGGGCGCAAATACTGCTGCTGAGCCCCCGGTAGCTGGCTGAGTCATGTAGGTGGGCTCCGCGGTGTAAGTCTGCGGGGCCATAACTGCGGCCGAACCTCCTGTGGGCGCCGGCTGGGACACGCTTCCACCTGCTGGGCCAGTGATGTACTGCGGCGGAGCAGTGTAAGTGGTAGGGGCAGGCTGCGCATAGGTCTGCGGCGCAGAGTAGGTGGCTGGCTGTGGAGCCGCGTAGGTCGCTGGCTGCGGGGCGCCGTACTGCACCGGCTGCGGAGCTGCGTAGGTCGCTGGCTGCGGCGCGCTGTACTGCACTGGTGCCGAGGAGTACTGCACTGGGGCAGAGGAGTAGTCAGCCGGACCACCATACTGCACCGGTGCAGATGAGTACTGCCCGGGTGCTGCATACTGTACTGGCGCCGAGGAGTACTGCGCTGGGGCAGAGGAGTAATCAGCCGGAGCATACTGCACGGGTGCAGATGAGTACTGTGGCGGAGCAGTAGTGTACGCCATGAACTCCTGCCGGGAGATCATCCCGTCATTGTTGGTGTCATACTGCGCAAACATGGGAGCAGGTGCTGCCTGTGGCACTGCGTATGTGGTCTGGGCCGGCGCCGAGTACTGCATGGTCTGCGGAGCGGAGTATGTCGCAGGGGCTGTCGAATATGTGGCCGGCTGAGCTGCAGACACGGACGAGGTGTAGGTCTGGGTGGGCTCAGCTGGGGGGGCCATAGCTGCTGAGCCGCCTGACGGTCCTGTCACATACTGCGGGGGAGAACTGTAGGTGGCTGGTGGCGCTGAGTACGTTGCAGGTGCTGCCGAGTATGCTGCTGGTGCCGCCGAGTACGTTGCTGGTGCTGCCGAGTACGCTCCCGGTGCCGCCGAGTATGTTGCGGGTGCGCCGTAGGTCACTGGCTGCCCGGTGGAGTAGCTCACTGGCTGTCCAGCTGAGTAAGTCGCCGGCTGTCCAGTGGAGTAGGACACTGGCTGCCCGGTGGAGTAGCTCACTGGCTGTCCAGCTGAGTAAGTCGCCGGCTGTCCAGTCGAGTAGGCCATCGGCTGCCCGGAGGAGTAGCTCACTGGCTGTCCAGCTGAGTAAGTCGCTGGCTGTCCGGTGGAGTAGCCCATCGGCTGCCCGGATTGCATTTGCGCTTGCATTGCCATGAACTCCTGTCGCAGGTGTGCTTAGAGCTGCTCGCACCAACATACTGTTTCCTCACTTGATTGCAAACTGTGCGTAGCCTGAGGATGATGCCACGTGGCTTGCTTCCTTTCCCTGCCTCTCGCGACAAGACGCCATCCCCATTGGCGTCCATCGCAGCGAAGGCATCCTATTTGGCTCATTCAAAACATGCTCCCTTTGGGTTTTGCCCATTGACCGCTGAGCGCGACACCATGGCGGCCATTGCAGCAACGATTTGCAGATACTCTCAAACTAGCAGAACCGGAATGTCAGCGCTGCTGCACAAGTCAAAGGACTGTGCCAAGTTGAAGCCGTGATCGGGTTTTGCAGGCATTCTTGTCAACCCAAGGTTTCCAATACCTGGTTCAGCATTGTCCAACCGGCAGTGACCATTCCAAAGATGGGTCAGCTGAACTCGGTACCCCTTTTGGCGACAGAACGCGACTCATTTAACATAAATTAACCCGTCCAAATAAACCTTTCAAAAAAACTTGAAGTAAGCAGGACACCAAACACACCGCTTCAAATGGCAAACTCTCTAAACTGTGCAGGTTTGCAATGTCATTGCAAACATCGCATACCAATGTATGATCGGCATGCAACTCATTTTCCACATTGGCGAGAGTCTGGTTGTGCGTAAAACAATTAGCAAAAGAATTGGCAGGTCAAGCCAATGTCAATAACTGCAGGCCTTGTGCTTCGGTGCCTCATGCACGGCCTGGAACAGATTCAGCAACTAGCTGCTAGAACTTGTGTTGCCTTCGCCAGTGGCCATTTACTCCAATCTTCACCGGAGGCCCTGAGGAAAAATGGAGCCCCTCACTTTAGCCGGGAAAAGCCATAGAGGCCCGCAGTCATTGACAAAACCTGCTGCCGCTCAGGTGAGCCGCCTGGGTCAAGAGCCCAATCCGTCCAGGGCATCTGAAAGGTAGGGGGTTCCCCTACAAACCTGGATTGGTAAAGGGGGATCCAGCCCTTTCGGCTGGACAACATGTTGTCTCAAAATCTGCGACCTTTGTACGTTGAAGTGCCATCCTCAATATGACCGACATGCTTTCAGGGGAAACCGTCGCCTTGCGAGTTTGTGTCGCCGATTTCAAGGGCCCAGAATCTAGAATCTGGGCTTTCACCGGGGGGGGGGCCGGGAGCCGTGGTTTTTTGGTCGCGTCCCTTTAAAATCTCATGTATGTCCAGGCAGGCACCTTGACGATATGCCAGGGCCCGTGCCCTGATTACGCCGCTTCCTCCTGATCCAGGCTCAGAGCAACTGCCCGAGATAACCAGGCGTGCCTCTTGAGGCCAACTACCCTTTCAGCGGTTTGAAGAGCCAAAGGGAAAATATGTTCATAAGTTCTTTGCAACTGATCAGTACTTGCCTCCCTCCCAACATGGCAGCCATGGCGTACCCCCATATCAGAAAAATGATCATCCTGGTACCCCACAGGTGCCATGGGAGGAAGGCTCGAGGCAGTCCTCAGCGTCCCATCATCGCTTCGAACTCTTCGCGGCGCAAGGTGCCGTCGCCGTTGGCATCCAACTCAGGGTTGACGCGCGCACATGGAAGCTCCATGTGGGTTTGTCTCAGGAGGTACAATGGCTGTTTTTCCATGTGGCTTCCCTTTCAACCAAGCAAAAGAGGATTCCTCAAAGACAAACCCATGTTAACCCTTTTGAAACAGCCTCCCCTCTCCATAAAATCGCCGGCAAAGACTTGTTGGCTTCCAATACTCACAGCAATGCGCCTCCGATAGTTATTGGTAGAGATTGAGTTGAATGACATCCCGAACAGAATCAGCCAACTGGTGGGTTCCGTTGAGGAAATCGCCTGGTTCATTCCCAAACCCTTGTGATTCCCGACTGAGAAACAGCACGACACTGAGCCGCACGCCTTCGAGAACAAGTCCGCCTGCGCAGTTGCCAACGGCTATGAAAGGACTGTTTTTTTCTCCTATGTATTGCGGCCAAGTTGCAGGACCCTGCCCAGTTGTTTTGTGCACTGCCCCGGAGCGTTGGTGTACTGCACCGGATGAGTACCCGGGCGCTGCTCCAGAGGATGGGGCAAATGAGTACTGCACCGGTGCAGACGCGCACTGCCACTCGATTTTTTTGGACGCCGCCCGCGTGCTGTTCGTCTGCGTACAAGTTTGATCATATGTTGTACATGCGAGAGACTGTTGGGCAGGCTATGTAACGCTTCCGACGATGTGCTTGCTGCGCTGCCTGTGAGTAGTATGGAATTGATAGTTGGAGGGCCCTCAGACGCTCTTGCACACGCATGTCTGGTGAAAAAGGCACTTGTGATAATCCGTTTGCAATTTTCATAAATGCACCGTGTATATATACATATATATATATATAGACATACTTTCCACACCCTGAACCAACCCCAAATCGCCCCTACTAATTTTAATTGAGCAAATATACCGCTAAACTACACTATAGTCCTGACAGCCAGGCGCTTGTCTTGTTTGGGCACACTCTTTGTTAAGCAACCAGCATCCTAAACAACTGGCTCTTTGCTGAAGCAAGGAGGATAATTTCAAACGCTCTATTTAGGTGATGGAAAGATCTTGCAGTAGCCGACACAAATTGGAAAGATGTACTAAAATAAATCCGTCGAGCTTGATGTAGTAATGTTGCAGCGAAGTTGGCTACAAGTGCCTTTGACATAGTGAAGCTACACCGAGATAGCTCAGGTGTATCTGACATGGAGATAAGTTCATCTGTCTTTGACAAATGTGTTTGGCAAGTGTGTGGCAGGTGTTTGACGTATGCATGCTGTTCGCAAACGCTTTAGTAAATAATAACCCTTCGCATGCCGTCGGGAAAATCGTTCTGGCTTCCCTTTTGCTCTGCAAAAGAGGGCTCTCTACTTGTAGACTTTGAGACAGACCCGTATGGTATCCCTGTGTCCCTTTGTCGCCCTCTTATTTAACAAAATCCGTGCAAGGCAGCAGTTGGTAGGCGGTTCATCCCAGTTTTCACTGCTGATTTTGTTTCATCCATCCCAACTGGCGCCTGAAGCAATTGTTTGTACCTATCCAGAGTACTTTACATAGGGAAGCAATCGATTTAAAGGATGGGGTGCGATATTGCCATCCGTGAAGAGCTTCCCTACTTGGATGTTCGTCATAAGTAGGTTGTAGCATATTTAATCAACCAACACTTGTCCCAACCGTATAACCTAAGTAGATTGAACATCCTGTTAGGCTTGGTTTATTCAGGCAGGCCCAGCAAAACACATCCCAGGATTTTTCAAGGACGACCAACAAAAAAACACCTTCCATGCGGGGATTCTTCGTTTCCCGTTCGACAAATCGGGCCTCAGCGGCCCGCCATCATAGCTGCAAACTCCTCCCGGGTCAAGGTGCCGTCGCCATTGGCATCCAACTGGCGACGTGGCTTGGCCAAATCCCGCGGAAAGACCCGGACGATTCGGGGCGCCCCAAATGGGGCGTATCGTGTTTTTTGTGGGCCTCGCTTTGGGATCCCCAACCGTTTCCACGAGTTTAAAGGTCAACCAGAAGGACAACTTTTCTTGTATCGGTCCAGAACCCTTTTCTGGCACATGAGATTCCGTAAACAAGGTAGTGCGAAAGAATTCTGAACCCAGAAACTCAATTACCAAAAAACCACCAAGAATACGAAACCCCTCCCTCTCTCTCGCTTTTGCTCTCTGCGTGATGTGTTTGAATGAGCTTGTGTGTGTGTGTGTGTTTCTGTGTGTTTGTGTGTGTGTGTGTCTCTGTGTGTTTGTGCGTGTTTGTGTGTGTGTGTGCCTGTGTGCGCGCATGTGAGTGTGAGTGTGAGAGTGTGAGAGTGTGAGAGTGTGAGAGTGTGAGAGTGTGAGAGTGTGAGAGTGTGAGAGTGTGAGAGTGTGAGAGTGTGAGAGTGTTAGAGTGTGAGAGAGTGAGAGTGTGAGAGTGTGAGAGTGTGAG